CATATATATATATATATATATATATATATATATATATAAAATTTAGTTTTTAGGGTGCGTTTGAAAGAATTGTAAAAGTTATATTTATTGTTATAATTGATTAAAATAAAAATAAAAATTGTTTAAATAAGTTGGCCAAAAAATAATTTTAAGATGTTTAATTTCATTTGTAAACAACAAAAACATCATTTTTTCTGTGATAAATCAACTTAAAAAGACGTTTAAAATACCCATAAGCTTCAAAATTTTAATTTCATAAAAACAACTTAAAAAAAAAAAAACTCTCTTTGCAAATTTAAGCTGTTACCCAAAGCATACAACTTTTTTTATAAACATTTTTTTTCATAAAGAAACAATTAAAATTTTGAATTATAATATTTCCCAAATATGCTTTTATTCTCTTTATTTCTCAAATTTATTATTGTGATGGCAAAAAAGACTTAACCACACTATTTAATTAACCTTAAACACCTCCCATCATGGGTTTTAGAGTTAGGCCTACACTATTTTTCACAAATATCAAAATTAGGTGTTTAAGACCCGTTATATTTGATCACATTATTTTTGGACTTAAGTATCATAAGATGAATTATAACATTAATCCAATTTTTACAATTAATTGTAATCTATAATAATTCATTAAAAAAATCCAATAGTAGAGGCTGAGTCGAAACACTCTTTTGTATAGATCCTCTCGATAAAAGAATGAGAGGATACATTTACCATCAACCTCAAACATGACAGGTGTAAAGGCTAAATAACAAAGGCGTAGACCTTGTGCCTTATAAGGACTTTAAACCTAGACCTTGTACTATCATTTTTTGATAACAAAGGTGTCTACCCTTTATGCATGTCAATGAAATTCATTGTAGTGCTATGTTTATTTATTCCTAAGTTGAATGAGAGTTTATAGATAATTGTTGTACGATAGATGCAACTTATATCGTGTAAAATTTTTGTCTAATTATTTGTCAAGTGTGTCATGTGTTCAATATCTCCATGTATTTATTTTACTAAGAGTCATGTTTTTCAATTTTTTGCACATGTTGAGGTACGATCGATTCAGGTCACGTTATGCTTATTGATCTTGCGCAAATGTTTCTGAGTCAATTTTTTATGCATGGTAGTCAATTGCAAGTTGATATTACTCATATCTTTTCAAGTTGAGTTTTTGTAAGTGGGACCAATTTCATGCCAATCTTATTGAGGTTTTATCAAGTCAATTTGTTGTGCATAGTGATCAATTACAAATCGATCCTACTCACATTTTTTTGAATCAATTTTTTGTGTATGATTAATTGCAAGTCAATCTTACTTATATCTTTTGAAGTCAATTTTTTGCACATGATGACCAATTACAAACTAGTCCTACTCATTTTTTGAGTCAATTTTTTTGTGAGTGGTGGTTGGTTGCATGTCGGCCTCGCTCACGTTTTTCAGTTAATTTTTTGTGTGTAGTAACCAATTACAAGTCGATACTCACGTCTTTTGAGTCAATTTTTTGTACGTGATGATTGATTACAAGTTAATTCTACTAACATCTTTCAAAGTCAATTGTTAGTATTATCTAATAATGTCAAAGTTTTACATATCTTATCGTTATACCTATTATTTAATTTGATTCAAACAAACAAATAAATAATTATAATCATAATAGTTAACTAATAATTAAAGTATATACAAAATTAATATACTATTATTATTTTACAAAAAAAAAATTCAATTTGATATCTAATTTAGGTCACATCATATTTGTCGATATATAATCAATTTTGGTTATGTATCTTCATTGCCTTTGATTAATTATTGAAAATCAAAGTTTATCAAATTTTTGGATATATAACCTAACAAAATAAGCGAAATAATTTTGATTAAAAAATTAATTAGTAGATAATCAACAAATATTTGTACCATAAAAACATTATCTTTATTTTTAGTCAATTATAGAAGTTCATATAATGTCATCCTAATTATCTTAAATGGTAAATCCAAAACTAAAAAATAATGTTTTTGAAAATTATATAAACTAAAAATAATAATTTTATATTTAAAATAAAAAAATCCTAAATTTAAAGAAATAAAAACATTTAAGTGTAAAAATATTAAAAAAAAAAAAGAAAAGAAAAAGAAGAAATACGTAGGTGCAATGTAAGAGTGTGGATGGATAGGATAGGAGGGTAGGTGTGAGATTGACCGAACGACCTCAAAAACCATCCATCCAATCAAGACTTGTTACGCAGCTTCACTGTCCATTTCCTCTCCCTGCCAACTCTCATTAATATATAAACCCTTAACCACCATCCTTTCTCTCTCAGCTTGAGGTTCCCTTCTCCAAAGAGAACACCAAGCATCACCTAACACACTACCACCATCGATATGCAGACCCTTTCGCCCCACACTTCCAACGCGCTCAATCTCAAGCTAGCCCTCCGCCCGCGCCACTCCCTCGCGCCAACCCGACTCTCAGTCAAATGCCTTTTCGCGTTCGAGCCGCCAAGCCACGGAGTCGGCTCTACCCGAGCCGACTGGCAAAGCTCCTGCGCCATCTTAGCCAGCAAGGTCGTTTCTCAGGAAAAATCCTCCACTGACCAAAACGGCGGCACAGCCGACCACGTCGCCGCCGTCAACGGCCACAAGGCCGCCGTCAGCGACCTAAATCTCGTTCCCATCGGAAACCTCGAAGCCGACAGCAACATCAGCAAGCCGCAGCCGCCGAAGCCGCTAACAATCTCCGACCTCTCGCCGGCGCCTATGCACGGCTCGAAGCTGCGCGTCGCGTACCAAGGCGTCCCCGGCGCGTACTCCGAGGCCGCCGCCGGGAAAGCCTATCCGAACTGCGAGGCCATCCCGTGCGACCAGTTCGAGGTGGCGTTCAGCGCGGTGGAGCTCTGGATCGCCGACAGAGCGGTCCTCCCGGTGGAAAACTCCCTCGGCGGCTCGATCCACCGCAACTACGACCTCCTCCTCCGCCACCGCCTCCACATCGTCGGCGAGGTCCAGCTCCCGGTCCACCACTGCCTCCTGGCGCTCCCCGGCGTGAGGAAGGACTTCCTCACGCGCGTGATTTCGCATCCTCAAGCGCTGGCGCAGTGCGAGCACACGCTCACCAAACTCGGCCTGAACGTGGCGCGCGAGGCCGTGGACGACACCGCCGGCGCGGCGGAGTTCGTGGCCGCGAACAACCTCCGCGACACGGCGGCGATCGCGAGCGGGCGCGCGGCGGAGCTGTACGGCCTGCAGGTGATGGCGGACGGAATCCAGGACGATCCGAGCAACGTGACGCGGTTCGTGATGCTTGCAAGAGAGCCTATCATTCCGCGCACCGATCGGCCTTTCAAGACGAGCATTGTTTTCGCGCACGACAAGGGGACTTCGGTGCTCTTCAAGGTGCTTTCCGCGTTCGCCTTTCGCAACATCAGCTTGACGAAGATCGAGTCGCGGCCCCACCGCAACCGTCCGATTCGGCTGGTGGACGATGCGAACGTTGGCACCGCCAAGCACTTCGAGTACTTGTTCTACGTTGATTTCGAGGCTTCCATGGCCGAGGTTAGGGCTCAGAACGCTTTGGCTGAGGTTCAGGAATTCACCTCTTTCTTGCGAGTCTTGGGCAGTTACCCTATGGACATGACCCCCTGGACTCCCTCCTCCTCCCGTGCTGATTAATTTCCATCGCCCTCTCTTTAAATATATATATATACTATATGTCTCATATCATTCTGAATTTTGTGAATAAAACAACACAAAAACTCATTATTTTTATTTTCTTCTTCCAACTTACAACCCTCAACTGAATTCGATACGCGCTCCTCAATTCATCTAACCTTGCAATGCCTCATTCGTATAATTTTGATATTTAAATGTAGTTTCAGAGGTTTGATCACTGAATCCATGTTTGTACAAGAGTATCTACCGAAAAATTTCTTCCTTTTAAATAAAACTTTCACCCCAATATTTGGATTTTGGTTGGGGATATAATATTCAAAACTTCCTATATTAAACGCAGAGAACTCGAGTTATTCTTTTAATTTGTATTTATTTCAAATTTTTATGATAACGAAAAATCATCTTGAATTATGATATAAATTATTTATCTTAATTTTAAAATATAATCGATTTATTTTCGACAAAATATGTTTTCAAACGAATGATTAAATAGTGAATTTTCTATTAGCATCGTGAACTCGAGTAAGAAAATTTGGCTTGCAATGTGATGTGGGGAAGACTACAAAGTTGTATTTTCAGTAATTACTTTTCACGGTCTTGAATGTAAGTTTAAAAAATTAATTTACACTAAATAATTTTTTTAGTTACATTAATTAATTTTATTGATTTTATTTTAAAAATAGTGCTTCCAATCTTAATCACAAGTTAAATTGTATTTTTTGTTCTTTTATTTTTTTAATACACAATTTTGGATCCTCTAATTTAAAATAAAGGTATTTGGTACCTTTAATTTTAAAATTATTAAATTTTGGTTCTCTTGTCAAATTGGTATTTATATATAACTAAAATTTAATATTTATTTATATTTAAGTATTGTGATATTTAATAATATGATATTTAGAGATAAAAAATAAAATAAAAACATAAAAATAAAATTTATTAATAAAATAAATATTAATCACTTATTAAAATATATACACGTAAAGATCTTTTTCTTATATTATTTTTAATTTTTATCTCTATGTATCATATCATTAAATATATTATTTAGATGGTGACAAGTCAATGAACAATGTTAAAATTTAACAACTAATAAATATTAAATTAATAATATTACCAAAATTTCATATTTTAAAAATAGAAAGACTAAATATCTTTATTTTAAAATAGAAAGAATAAAATTGCATATTGACAAAAAAAAATGAAGAACCAAAAGGGTATAAATATGTAACATAGTACAAATCATCAAGATCAATAAAATTAATTAATATGATTATTTTAAATTAATTTTACCATAAATTCAAGTTTTATTTCAAACATACTCTTTACTTAAGTGGTTGTTATATTTAATGTTAGTTATAAGTGAATACATATAAGATATAAATAAATTTAAAATTGAATAACTTTAGATAATTATTGCTTATAATTGAGATAAAAAAAATTCAATTTGTATTTAAAATTATGCCTTAGGTAGTATGTATTTTTCTAAATTACTCTTTTATTAAGATCTGAGATTGAATTTAACTTCTATCATATTTTATATAATTTGATATAGACTTGTAATAAGAGGAGGTAAAATCATCCTTAAATACATTAAAAATCATTAAAGAGATTAATGATTTACTCTGATTTTAAATGGAATTGTGCTTTATCTTAATCTAATTTTTTTTCTAAAAAATACTTTATAACATAAACTTGATATAAAGAATAAAAAAATCAATAAATATATATTTTCCACTAAATGAAAGGTATCTCAGGAATTAGGATAATATTATTAAATTAGGGAAATTAATTGAAACTTGAGAAAAAAATACATTAAGTTTTTTTTTTTAATTTTATATATTCACACATAAAGAGTCATTTTTGAGCAACTTTAAAAAATTGAGTTAAAGAAAAAAATAAATCAACTTGCATATATGTAAATTAGGCACGTATGTGACTATATGATATATTTCTCTCTATATTATTTATAATTGTGTTAACTCTTTCTTCTTTTCTGTTTGGTAAATTGTTAACTTTTTCTTTCTACTGTAACTATTTTTTTTGGATCATTACGTGATTGGTGTAGTGATTTTGTTGGTGGTGAGTTTTTATTAGAAATAAAGCCGATCATTTTAATCGAATTTCGTCTTTCAATCATGTTTTTGTTATATTTCGTTGATCAGTGTACTTATCGGTAATTTGCGTAAACTTTCATTGTTTTATAATTAGTATAATTAAAAAAGATAAATGAACCGTTTTATATTCTAATGAACTCCTCGAAATATTGTAATTGACTTAATTATTTATTGAGTTAATTAATTTGATCAATATATTAAGTTAATGATCTAGGTTTTAGATTTAATTATTTTAATCATAAAAGAATTCTGGGAAACTTCATTTAAATTTAAGCCTCATCATATATCTAAAACAACCTTTTGTGATATTTAAGTTTGACTTTAATACAAACTTGCAAATTGAATAATTTTTTTAATGTCTTCGTAATTGTGCCCTTAGAGGCTAATTAAAGAATTAATATGTAGATTTTTTTTATTATTAAAAACAATATTAAGATATATGGAAGAGTTAGTTTTTCATAGATTTTTATTCTTATTCCATGTACGGTGTCCTAATCTTTTTTCTTTTTATGTATGTATTTATTTATTCCATCAATATAATTCATGCAATGTCTCAATGTTAATGATTAAAAATTAATATACATTCAAAAATGTGATTTTCACTGTATTTTCAACAAATCATCTTGATATAGGTTGTTTTATACTCCAAATTATCATGCAAATCTAAATAAATGTTCATATGCTTGGATTATTTTGTGAGAGCAAGGAATATCCTTAGACTTTATAGACCTTATAGCAGAGAAAATTTCTCCCGCATTATCCTCTTTGCATGAGAAAGAGAAAGTCTAAGGATACATTTATTTTAAGTAATATTTTTCTATTCTCAAGAATGTGAAGTTGAAAATTTATAAAAATATATTTTTGACTATATTTTATTCTTAGGAATGTAAAACCTTAAACATTTGACATTCTTCTCATTCTCACAGTAAAGGATAAATATCTTATATTTTACTTTTCCTAATAATTATACTTTAAAACAAATGGCTCCTAAGATTTTATTATGATGCAAAAGTAAAACTAAGATGTGGAGGTGAAATTATCATCATGGGCCATGGCATCAACTAAACAACAAATCTGACACGTGCTCATGAAAGTGGCCTTGATGTACCCATGTTTCCACGGTAAAGCCTCGTTATAGATAAAGTCAAATCAAAATATGAAATTCACTTGGAGTAAAAAGAAAAAAGAAGTAAATTTCACTTTTTAATTGAGTTACACTCAAACACAAGTTCTAAAAATAGTTAAGAAAAAATTCAAAATTTGTTGGAGCTTTGAAGAGAGGGTTACAGGGGTTCTTCCTCTCGGTGCTCAAGCCTCAATCGATAGATAAATTCAATGTTTATGGGATGAACTATAATTTTTTGAACTTAACATTTATATTCACAACGAACCCTTTTCAATTAGTAACGAGAAAGACAAAAAGGAAATTATAATTATTAACCCTTTTTAGAGGCCGCATTAGAGTATTATATTGATGCTTTATTAGAATTATTATTGGTTGGGCCATGCTGATTTGGATGCATAATTTGCAAAATTGGTTCGATGCTGTGGTAAAACAGGTGGGGGCAGTGGGCCCCATGCACCACCACTTGCAGACATGAAAGCGAAGTGTTGAATATTACCCCGAAATAATAACTATACAGTAACCTATATGCAGTGGTTTGAATTATTATTAAACTTGAATTAATGCATGACTAAGCTTCAAAATTAAGCCTAAGAAATAACTCACCAACCCAGTGTCACACAATTCACATTTCACAATTCAAGATTGATTGCTAAAGCAAGCACAAGTCAAAACTTGAAGTGCACAATGACTTGTCTTCCCAGGGTTGGTCATTCTTTGCTTCTTACCTTCGCACCAACCAATTGAACTTTTTTATAATCCACTCTCTGCAAATTATTTTTCTAAAGCCTACCTTTTGGAACGCATCTACCCCAAAGTGATGATAATAAATTATGACACCATTCCATCATTTGATTAAATTTTCTTCTTTTGGGAGTTTTTCTTGGTACATATATAGAGCACTTTGTTTTTTCTTTTGGGGTTCATAAACTCAGTTTTTCAACAAATTATACCAGTTGCGGAAATTTCACCAAGTTATTCTGAAAAAAGAGTTATTCTTTTAAGTTTAATTATATTTTTTTTTCTCTTTCAAATACAATTTTGACATCTCAAAGTATATTTGACATGATACGAAAGCATGACATGTGAACTATGAGGAAAATTTATTACATTAATAATAATATATTATTTCAGTCATTAAAATATTAAAAAAATTAAAACAACACAATTTTATAAAAGATAAAATATTTGAAGTAGACTTAATAAGTTATACTTAAAACATATAGTATTAAAATATATAAGTTATTGTTTATTTAGTTTTATAATATTATATTGTTTATTTAATAATAACAAATATATGTACAATATTTTAATACTCTTGTATATAACATAATTTTAATTTATTAGATACTAAAGGAAGACACTAACCTAGTAATTTTTGTGTTGTTGGAGGTTTAAATTTTTCCTTCTTCATTTTGTCTATTTATCCCCGCGCGTTTTTTTTTTTAATATGAATCTGTTAGAGATCCTCCCCAACAAAATATTCACCAACATCTTAACCATTAAAATTATTTATTTTATGTTATTGAAAATAATATAAATCAATGGTTAAAAATAATAGATGTGAATGAGATGTAATGAATAGACACTCACTCGTACGTGTTTAATTTTCCTGGACAAAATTCACACTCCATATTAAGATATGAAAATTATACCGTTAGAGGAACGGAACAAACAGAGAAATTGAGTCAATTTTTCAGTTGCATTCATGAATTTATTTATATTTAAGTTGTCACATAAAGAGAGAATAGGTAGATAGTAGCTAAACATGAGTGATTGAAGAGGGGGTTTCCCTGATCATTTTGAAGTGGGGCGTGATTAATGATCAATGTGTTGTGTTAGTAGAAGAATACGATCTAT